TCAGAAGCCATCATTTGTTATATCCATCACCTCTGTCTTCATTCAGTCACACCTCCAAGGTTTCCTAATTATACAGGAGGCAAAAATACCCCATATCAAGTTGCCCTTATCCATGTATGCCATCTTTATCCCATCACATATTGCACATCTGTCTTCTGTCCCTCATTTCTCCTAGGGGGAAGGAAGGTCAGTAACATACTTCAGAAGCCATCATTTGTTATATCCATCACCTCTGTCTTCATTCAGTCACACCTCCAAGGTTTCCTAATTATACAGGAGGCAAAAATACCCCATATCAAGTTGCCCTTATCCATGTATGCCATCTTTATCCCATCACATATTGCACATCTGTCTTCTGTCCCTCATTTCTCCTAGGGGGAAGGAAGGTCAGTAACATACTATATTCAGTATAGTTGGTTGCTATTTACTGATATTTACCCTAGTTATAAGCCTATTCCATCACTATCTAATATTAATTTATATGCTCACAAAATTTACACTCAAATAATATTAAGAGTATTTCAGGTATGTCTCTTTATTTTTCAATAATGCTGTGCTTCATTCTTGCAAAAGAAGATATATGTAAGATTGACCAGGAGTTCTAGTCTTACTTCTGTTACAGCCATCTTGTGTGATCTAGAGCAAGCTCTTTAAGGGTAATTTAAAAACAGAAGAAACTTCTCTCCCCCGCTTGCTTTAGGTCCTTTTTTCTCTTGCAAGTCATACATTATGCACACAATGCTAGTAAAATTTCAAATAACAAGCATCACAGAAGGAGAGAAAGAAATTATATTTAGCAAGACTGTTCAATGCTAGTTTTCATTTGTTATTAACACCTATTAAATCCAAACATCTGGTAGGCTTTTGTAGATTTCATTATTCCTACACTTTAGTGCCTAACCATTGTCTTTACAATCACTGTGCACAAACTGTTTTTGTATTTCCAAGTTTCATTGGTAATTGTACTCATCAGCTGGTGATTGTATATGAAATACTGTATTCTGGCCATCATATATAATTATTAAACTAATTCTGTCTTCTTTCAGTAGATTAAGCATGATAAACACAACTGCCCTAATATATAAAGCAAAGCATATCTTCATAACAAAAAACAGTGCCCAAGTCACTAGATCACCCTCTGCATGTAGAAGAGCCAGAGCTGCACAAGCTTCAACTCTGGGAAGGAAACGTGGAATAAATGAAACATGAAATGATTTTAGGACATCCTTCCCCTGCCAAAGCCCATGACAGCCTTGTTTGTGAGTTTCATGGAGTGTAGCTGAAGCAGAAGGAGCTGAGGCCAGGGAATGGTCATTTTCCATAGAATTGCGTGCAAACCTGTTGCATAACAATTCCTTTTCCGGGGGATTTGGAGGTGACTGCTTGTAGGGATATCATGATAACACATGATAAAAGGAGGGAGGAATATTCCTTTTCTAGCCCGTCATCTGTGCAGTTCAGGGTTCATGGAAGTTTCCTATGTAATGTAAAGCAGCACTTCACCAAACTTTAACATGGCCTTTTGAGGCGACAGATCTGCTTTGTTCCACTGTGAGGGATGACAAATAGGATAATCAGTGAGCAGTTCATAAATTGAAATTCAGAGTTTTCAAGTTTCTTGTTTTGTTTCTTTAATCCATGTAGATGAGTTATCTGCAACAGAATTTCAACATGAAAAGTTTTATTAAAGTGGAGGTAAGTAGCAGGTTCACAGTGCTGTTTTGCCGTCACCGTGCTCTTCCTAATTGTATATTTCAAATCCTAAACTTAGAAGTTGGAAAATACTGAAATGAGGATTTCAAGTGGCACTTGTTACACAAGGATTCCTTAATTCAATGCAGTTTGTAGCAAATGTAATATGCTGACAGCTTCTCTTGGACTTTATATTGTTTGGGACATTTTTGGTTTATCTGTAACTTGGTGCAAACTCAACACTATTTTATTTAAAGTTTCCTGTCACCAATAGATGTAGCAGAGTATTTTAGCAATTTTAATACCAGTTTAAAAGCTCCTTAGTTTCTTTGTGCCATCATGACTTTTCCATTAAATTGTATAATGAACTCTAAATTTGGTGTTGCAAGTGATGTACCTCAACCTCTACCTCCATTTGTGGAAGCTGGCTACACTCATGTAGACAATGAATTCATCTAATTTAGTTTTTGAAGAACTTTTGGTAATCTAACTCTCATTTATGCCTTTTTTTGTTTGTTTTTACTTAGTAACTGTAAAGGAATCCTTGAGGATATGCTACACTGTTTAAAGTCACAAGACTCAAAATTGCAAACCATTATTTATCACTCAATCACTAGATATGCAGGTAATCCTATCAAGCATAACATTTTCAAAATCAAGCATAAAATTGTTTCTGAAACATACTCGGGCAATAACCATGATTTTCTTAAAAATTGCTTTGAGTGCATTAAACTTGTGTTTGTCGTCTTTGACTTCATTGAACACCATTTTACATTATTGTTTTGAGACAGTGCTAAAAAAAGTGAAGACAGAAATGACCTCTTCTAGCATTTCTGTAACCATGAGGTTCACACAAGCAGCTTGGCATCTGCCGGCACATCTTTAGCAAGTTGGCAGCGCCAGTGCCCTTTGCAGGTTGCAATCAAACCTGCCTTCTACAGCAGCCTCTTTCTGGCTGATTAACTTTAATGTAATTTTAATTAAAAACCACAGTGTCAAAGGGTTTAGCTGCTCGAGAAATGAGCACAGATTGTGGCACAGTGGCAGCAGTCACTTGGAAAATGGAAATGCATCCTGACAATATTGTGTAGGGGCCAGATAAACAAAGCTGCAGCTACAGTACCTTGCAGAAAGCTAGGAGAGACCATCATAGAGAGAAGTCTTACATATAAATTAAGTATTCAGCTTTTCTATTATCTGTCTTTCAGCAATTTAAAATATTCTATCATTGTTTTAGGTATCTAAATTAAAAATAATTGTCAAGAATTGATTTCAAGCTTTTCCTTCCCAATTTTATTGTCCAGTGAGATTAAATATATATATGTAAATTATATTTAGCAGCCATTTTTTTTAACACAAAGTATTTACCTCACAGTCTAAACTAAGAGAACTTTTCTCCTTAGGCTATAAGGAAAAAAAATCTATGATGAAGTTTCTCTCAAAGCTAAAAGTTGGTCCAATTTTAGAGAGTGGTTTACTTTTATTTGCTTCCAGCTTTTCTTGTCCCTTGAAGCAAATCATAAACATATTTTACTGCTTTAAATTCTTTAGATCTTTATGTAAATTTTTGGAATGAGGAAAAAGTCCTCTCTTTAGCAGCAGGCTGCATGAGACGTTAGAGAATTTCACCCCCCCTGATCCCAAGTATAGAAACATACGTAATAAGGGCTTGATGCAAAGTCCATTGAGTCAATGGAAAGATTTTCACTGACTTAAATAGGCTTTGGATCAGGCCCTGAGTGACTGTGTTGTGCAAGGGAGCAACCAGGTAAACATTCTGGTAATGTTATTAACAAGAATTCCTTTCAGTGAGATGTCTTTTATTTTTCTTACATGCCACTGATTCTCCAGGGCTAAAACCCCAGGAGAATTCCACCTAGTACTGTCAGTTCTGTAGAGAGAATTTCCTCCATCCCCTTTTAGGTTTGTGGGATGTTTTAGAACAGATGGAGCCTATATAGGTGGGATAGGTTCCATCTGAACAGAAGGGTCACAAATGCACTCACTGAGAGGATAGACAGAGCTATAGGGGAGAGTTTAAAGGAGTGGATGGGGGGATGGGATATCTAGCAGAAAGGAAGAATCAGCTAAAATAAGCAGATGAGTAAACAGGAGAAAATAATATTAAGTATTAAAACATGCATTATATCTACAGAAAAAGAAGACTGTTGAAGGGGAAAAAACCCTCACGAGATATGGCTAGAACCAGAAGCAATTGGAAAGTCACATTTGGGGGATGTTTTTAAAATACCAGTTAAGAAAGCTGACAAAGAAAATAGGAAAAGAAAAATATTAAACTGGAATGCACATTATATAATACTAGCAGAAATACCTGGCGTCGCCTGGGGAAAATATAGTAAAAGGTGTGATGAATAAACTACGTCAGTGACATTAACATAGCATATTTTATTGGAAATACTTTTCTCTGATATATTACTTTAAGAAATTAACATAGCTAATGATGTGCTTACAAAAGGACAAATCCCATAGGGTCTCTTTTCTCAATCCCCACAAATCAGGAAGGCCCATCTTCCCTTAAAGACTCTATGCAAACCAATGCCTGCAACCTCCTTGCCAGAAGCCCTGAGAAATGGAGGGGATATCTCCTGGGCTCTGCAGCAGCAGGAAATCACTTCTCCCCAAGTAGCCACTCCCCGAGTGCCTTCAGTGCTTGCTCCATGGGGCAATCTGAATGGACTTCCTAGTGGCAGCTGGACCTGTTGCATTGATCAGACAAAGCGAAACACCTTCAGACCAGGTGCAGTTAGTGGTATCTAGATGATCAGAACATGCAGCACCTGAACATACCTGTTCTAATGAGAATAGGCTGTTATGAGTCTACCATGTCCTCCTCAGGCTCCACAGTGCTCAAAACCTTGTCTTCCTACCCATCTCCTCTTTGTACTGTGAGCTGAATCTTGCAAAGTGCATAATGCCCATAGCACTTGCTGATAATGCACACAGTCCTGCCAGGAGAACGCACGCAGACCAAAGGAGGGCGAGTGGTGGGATGGTTTGTTTGGGCCTGGGGGGAGGGAAGCAACTTTAATTTCTAGAAGGGGTCCTGCCGGAGCCCAGCTGCATGAAGATGTTGAGAGGCTATGATAGCTGGAGGCTTCTCCCAGCCACAGTTAGCAAGACTAGACCCCAGCGAGCATCAGCCACATTTGGATCTGTCCTGGAGACCTGCTGGTGCTCTAGTATAGGGGAGGTGGCTGATTCTCCGTGCCACTGCAGCCTCTTCCCCACGGCCTTTCCTTTGATGGTGCTGCAGGTGCCCACATGCTTTATCCTCTAGGATCTCGTAGTTGCAGTTTATGTGACTCGCTTAACAGAAGAGTCCAACAAATGCCTATGATCAGGTGCTACTAAAAGCTAATTATCAGTGGGCCTAATTGGGGCTCCGAGGGAACTGATTTTGAGATATAACCAATCCAGTGATTTTAAGTTAGGAAATCAGGAGTATCCATGCAAAATGATGTGTTTCTATGATCAGGCGCTACTAAAAGCTAATTATCAGTGGGCCCAATTGAGGCTTTGGGGGAGCCAGGGGAACTGATTTTGAGATATAATCAATCCAGTTATGTAAGTTAGGAAATGAGAAGTATCCGTGCAAAATTTGGTGTTTCTAGCTCTTATCATTTCAGAGATCTTTCAGTACAAACAAACTTGCAGAAATATTTATAAGAATACACAGAGAAGAACTTTAATCTCAGGGACATCAAATGATGAATGCAAATATTAGAGGGTATTTAAATGGATTAAAAAGTGCTTAGCAATGTGGGGTGGGAATAAGGAAGCTCAGTGAAGCTGGCCCTCCAAGATATAAGGAGGATACCTTTGATGACAGATGAAAATTAATAAAAGTGCCATGAATTCTTTGCCTCCATGTTGAGAAATGAAGAATGTTAGAAACAGACATACATCTCAGGCGCATACTCAGGGTGGGTGTGCAGGGTGCAAAAGCACCCTTCTATGGTCCCCCAAGTAAGCATACTCTGCCTGGCCTGGGGAAAGCAAAGTGGTGTGCTGCCTGAGTCTCCCTCCCCCATCCTCTGGCTGGCTGGGGGAAGGCTGGGGTCAGTTTTCCCACGTACTTGGGGACCATGGAGTGCATTCACACCCTTTTGGTCCATATTTACAAAAAAGCACCACCACCACCCCACATACACATACTGAAATTCCTGCATACGGGCCTGCATATTCAGGGAGGAAAAGGGAAGAAGGAAGAAAATCAAAATCACATCAAAACAATGGATCTAAAATTAAGACAATCTCAAGAATGACAAATTTGAAGGCCAGAGAGAATCCAACTACCGTTGAGCCATGAAATGTTAAAAGACAGAAATCTTAATAGATAGTTTAAAACGTAATGTAATCTAAGTGAATAGGAAACATCCAGCTAACTGCAATCCAGGAAGTTGGACTTCATCAATGAAAGTAGTAAGTATGGGGAATAAGGGACTTTATGGGTCTGGATACAAAGACTAAAGATCAAGACAAAAACAGGGTTTATAAGACTGGCTCTATAGCAATTCATTCTATCTGCAAAAGGTAGTAAGTGTTGGCTTCCCGTCTCTCCTATTCTGAATTTAACTAAATTTTTTTAAAAAATAAATCTTGGATTTTTCTATGTTTGTTATATTTTTATGGTCGCGAGAGGTATGATGATATCCTCTTACTAACAGATGTTAGATGATGATAATGTTTGATGATGGATAGTTTTGTCAAACACTGCTTTCCCCCCCATAAAACAGCCACAAACTCTGTGTTCCAAATTTACAAGCATAACTGTCCATTACACCAACTATTACTATTTTTAAATAAATATAACCTTTTGTTTTATAGCTAAATGCATTTGTTTTCTTCAAAAGGACATATAAGTCTTAAATAAAGATGTGCCTGAACCAAAGGCCTTGATCTGAAGACACACAGCTTCTTGAGGCTTTACCATTCACACTCAGAATTAGATGTGAATTTCATGGCTGGCCTTAAAACTTATTATGCGACAGACTGAAACCATAGATCTGCGTATTGCTGAGCCTTGCAGAGTAGTTAGATGTCCCCTTTTATTTGTAACAGTTCTTTGTAAGCAGAGACTATGACCCTCGTGATTGTAAGTATTATCCCAGAAAGCTTTGGGCACTGGAACCACTCAGCTTTGCTTCTCAGTTCTCTCTGAGCTTTTGAACAAGGTTCAAAGGCTATTCCATCTGGAAACAGGCAAACAGTGCTTTTATGATCATCAAGGGATGATGTTTTCCTGAAGCCTTTATGTTTTCAGGATAAACTTGAGAATCTGCCTCAAGCCTATTCTAATCATATATGCAATTCACCTCGATAACGAAGTTTCAGTATATATCTAGAGGAAAATGCCCAAGGGTCTATGCCACACAATAGAGAATACACAGCATTTCACCAGGCCTTAAGTATTTAGCATAATGGTATAAGTATGTAATTGCACACAATGAAGCATTGGACTAATATGTCACCAATACGAGACATTTAAGGATTTATAAAAATCAGCTACAGTTAAGTGAGTAGTCATTTGAACACCCAGAAGTTATTTTGCCCCATGTTAATTACATGAAGTGGGCCACCCACAGTAAAATCAGTTTATATTGACAATCTAATTCTGCATAAAGGTCCCTTTAAACATATGTGGTGGGATGTAAAACAGTACAAATCTTTTGAGAAGTTTTTTTAAAAAACCTGACAATTATTTCATTTGCCCCTTGGATTTATTAAATCTCATGCTGTACTATTTTAATGCATCTGTAGCGTGTATTATTATATAAGCAAAATAATCCATGACGTGCAAACTTGACATAGCATCTTACAGATTTTTGTGAAGAACTATTTGCAATTTTGTTCTTAATGTTCTGCAGCCCCAACATTTAGCTCTCATGCATTATTGTTCCATAGATTTGTGCTCTCTGTGGTACCAAGTTCAAGCACAATAGCTACTAAAAATAGCAAAGCTAGGCTGAAACATCTGGCTTCCTGAAAGCTACTATGCTGTTTGAGACTTCTGTGGAATCCCAAAATTCTGTACTGTGATTTTAGTTGTCAAATGTAATAAAAGCATGAAAAATGAGTGAAGATTTAATCAATGATAATTTTTGTTGCTTTCTTTTCCTTTCATAGGTGTATTGAGAAGAGGAAGGTTGTAGAGGATGACAATTTTTGTTTTGGGTAGGCATAACAAATATGTGGTCAGGTCCTTCTAAACCAAGCAAATTAAGCATGCGTTGTCTGCATTATTATTATATTTGTGTGTATACATTTTATAAATGTATTGCGTTCAGATTTTTTGAGACCCATTATCCAGTGTCCATTTTGTCTTATTATGAGTAACAAAAACTGGTGGAAAATCTGCAAGAAGAATATACTCCATACAGTTTCATCAGCCCTTCTAAATTAAATTCCGCCCAACCTAGCAAGAGCCCTGAGGCATAATTCTACATAACTACTAATTTTCACCATTAAATATTAAATGATTTTCATTCTAAAAGCATAATTTTACAATTGTAATAAATTTTCATGCGCAGTCATATTCAGGTCTTCATTTTGACCTCAGCCTAATTTGACCTTGTTTTTTCCAGGCTGTCAACACCAAGCTTTTCATATGCATCAGTCTTTCATGTATATGAAAAGGTAAGTGGATTGATAGAATCTTTCTGGGTACTGTTTTTTTATATATTAATTTTTTTTACTCAGGAGCCTTTGCACTGTAATCTTGCTCTGCGGAGAAAAAAAAAAGACCAAATAGTAAATAGGCTCGGGGAGCTGCTCTAGGCACATGTACCCATGAACCATTAGTCATTCTACCAAGGTCCATTAACTATTTACCTGGTTTTACATTTCATGATCTGTGCTGACAAACATTCCTCTCAAATTTGTGAAATAAAACTCAGAGATCATGCATTATTATATCAGAATCAAATACAGATGCATAAAAATGTAATAAAAATAAAATTACATGTTATAATTTGTACTCTTATTTATGAGTCATATTCTGCACATCTGTGAACATCAGCCAGTTTGTAAGTATGGAATTTGAACCTACATTTCTGTTTGATTTATTTATCTGCTAAGCTACAGTAAAAGTGGGATTTTTTAGGTGCAGTACCTGAGATATTCATTTATTATTATCTTTAAAACAAAGGACTACACCACAGATATAACTGAATTATAAACTCAAATGCACTTATTGTGTAAGACTGGAGAATATCCTGTGCAGATGGAATGTACAGAGATTTTATTTGCAAGCCTCTAACATGATGTGAATGCATTGTTGATGATTCTCAGACGGTTTAAACCATTCCAAATCTAGGTGAATTTGATTCTGACTCTAGGGTTTATCCCGCTGCCAAATTTCTATTTCGAATTTCAAAGCTTATAGACAAAATAATTATTTTTTTGAGTTGGATTTTTTTAATGTTGGCAAAGCTACAAATTTTTCACTAGTAGTGTTCTCATAAATAGGCGGAATGTACCAGTCAATATTACCCATAGGTTGAAACAGACCCACTGCATAAGAAATTGAATTTTGTAATCTCCTAATGAATGTGTTTGACCTTGGCACGTATTTTCAAATTTTTAAATGTATAGGACCCTGACCCTGCAATGGAACATATAAGATAATAATGTTGAATACATGCATAAATGTTTTGCAGGATTGGGGCCAAAATTGAGTTTGGTGGATCCTGCAATAGCAGGTGATAAAAGCAATTATAACAGTAACTGATACTTTTCTGTTCATTCCCAGACTTTTAATATTTTGATTTGTAATGGAGCAGATGTTTTTAAAGACAGTAATTTTTGAGATGTCTGCTTATCTCTGTTGAAATGAACATTCAGCTCTTAAATTTTTGTTTGGGTAGGTCCATGTCCTGTAATCTCTAAGAGAATGTCTAGACTGCATCGCTATTTCGGGATACTGAAAGTATCCCAAAATAGTAGCACTGTGTCTTTAAATGCACCTGCTATTTCCCGAAATAGCAGGCATGCTATTCTAGCATCCCTGTAACATTAAGGGATTTGTTAGAATAGTGCCTTATTTTGAAATTTGGTGCGGTTTACACAGCACCAAATTTCAAAATAAGCTCTTTGAACCTAGACATGGAATAAGCTACGTGATTTGCTTAGCGCAAATTGTGTAGCTTATTCCGACAGAAAGTTGCTGTCTCGATGCACCCTCAGGCTACATCTACATTATGCATTCTTGCACAAGTGCATTATGCACTTTCTGAAAAGTAATAGGTGTAACGGCATTGCGCAAGAAGGTGCGGTATAGACAGCTCCTTCTTGCGCAAGAGCCTCTTCCGCAAAAATGGTGGCTCATTATATATGCAAATGAGGATCAGCGATATTCCACGCTTAGTCTTATTTGAATATTTTTTGCACAAGAGGCTATAGTGTAGACATGCCTCTTAGCTCAGTTCAGCTTGATTCACAGGGATGGGAATGATGTCCAGCATACAGAGCTTGTTAGTCAGTTCTTTTTGAAAGGGAACATGGTATTGCCATCTTATTATTTGGCATCAGATAGAGATGGAATGAAGGTAACTTGGCTTACAGTCTCATTTGAAGGACATCACCTTTAAAAGTGTAACATACTCCCTACCCCCAAAAATGTCAACACTGGATGTTAGCCCAAATGTTAGGGTAGGTCTTAAATAACATTCTGCTCCATAGGCAAGAGTTAGATAATTGTTAGACCTATTTGCCTTGTTGTATACTAGGAAAAAGCCAAATAGAATATATGTGTATTCTAGGATGAAGAAAATGCATTGTAATCTAGTTACAGTTGAGAAAATGTATTAGTGACTTATTGGTACAAAACATTATAAGGATGTTATAATTATCCCAAAACTAAAAATGTTAAAGTTAGGATCTTCAGAGTTATTCCTGGAGTGATTTCTCTTGTGGATTTCACTTTTGATGCCTGTGTGACCATTGTGCATGAAATCAGATTCTTTTTGGTTAGCAATGTCAATTTGTGCTGCATCTGTGCTGTAGATGTCTATGCATCTCTTCCTCTCTCTCCATGTCTTTATGGCATAACAAACAAAGCAGGCTCATCCAGCCATCCTTCAATTCCTTCATCTCTCCTGTGTTTGCGAGACAGAACCTCTGCAGTCTCTGCTTACTGTGCATACAGTGCAATCTCTTCTTAGGCAATTTAGTAGTAGAAGTTAGTATAATTAGTGAGTAGACTACAGGCAAACAATGTTTTTAATAGGTTGGGAATATCCCCACTACCAGCACTCAAGCACCTTTGGCTGAATCTATGTCTCCAGGATTTAAAACTTGCCCTTTTTGTGAGCTGATAGCCTGCACAATGATAGTCATTCCAGGTGCCTCTTTTGCTTTGATGAGTGACCAGATGCTTGACCTATTGTGGCTTCAAGAGGATATAGACTCTGAAGAAACCCTCATCAAACATTCCAGAAGAAAGAGCTTTCTAAGACAAAAGATCCTGCCCAAGCCTGAACGACCATTTTTGGCTAGTGCTCCAGGAAGCAGTAGTTCTACTCTAAACTCATTCTTCATTGACTGTTAAGTCAAGCAAAGTACCCAAGACCTTTTTCACCCAGTCATCAGAAGAGGATAGGAAGGAGCATTGTTCTCAGAACAAGCATGTGCATAAAGTCACCCTCTTCAGTGTCTAGTTAAATGAAACAAAAGATTCATTGTGTCCCTGTAGCAGCTCATTTGCCTCAGCTGAAAGGTAGACTGTGTCTTAGATTTGGTCCCTGTGGTGCCTCAGACTGGCTTGTCACTGGCCAGTGGCATCACCTGAAACTATAGTTTGAACTTCCCCCTGGTACTGACTCCTTGGCACTGATGTCAACATTGACCCACTTGGTACAGATAACCTTCATGCTCATGACTCTGATATCAACAGCCACAGTGCAGATATTTATGATACCAAGATTCTTGGTACTCAAGAAATTCTCAGAACTGAGTCATCTTGCAGTTACCACACAACCCTCATCTGTTGCTAGAGATGCTACTGCCTCCGTTCCAATGTTCAAGAGTATACAGGATGTAACAATGCCCTCATTCAACAGACATTGAAAAATGTAGAAATTAGTTGGGGTCTGGGATGACTGTACATCAGTGGGTAAGAACTCTAGCCAGAATAGGCATTGTCATTGCCCTTTAAACATGTTTTTCCCCTTTGTCCTGGCAGCCTTGGAAGGTGGTTGCACTGAATAGTTGAAATCAGTATATCCACCAAGTGACCTGTAAAATTGAAGGACTTACAAAAAGTCCCCTTCTCATTAAATCAGTGGAAGAATCCACTTTATATGTGCAATGAATTATTTTCTCTATACTTCTACCTATCAAGACAGATACCTCCACACTTGGATGGGGAGCTCATTGTGATCACTTTCATGTACAAGGCCTTTGGTCCCCCGAGCATGCTCAACTTCACATATGTCATGGAGTTCAGAGCCATAACTGTAACAGCCAGAAGATTTCTATCTCAGCACAGGAGACTGCTCTGCAGTTGTAGTGCATGTTCTGTGTCATCTCATGTTCTCTCTCCTCTGTGGCAAGTATTATTTTATACTAGTGGTTAAACCAGCTCACAGAATTGGAGGGACAGAAACGTGGCTTGCCACACCTCTGCCCAAGTTTTGTTCTGAGAGCTGCTTAAGGAGTGAGTAATGGAATCCAACACAAAAGAGTAGACATGGTAAGTTCCTGGTTAAATATTTGGTCAGGAAGCCATACTTACTGCTGATGGCATCCTGCAAGCATCCCAAGAGCTGAGCAAAATGGAAAGTAGGAGAACAAGAAAATATTGTCAAATTCTTCCAAAGGAGAATCTACAAGTATACTAACAACATCTCATCTTTGGATAATTGTATATTGCTATTACTGATTGATTGTAGGATAAAATGGCATGATCAAAACAGGACAATATATTTTCTCTGTTGAATGCTCCAGATGGATTTTAATTCCCAAATTGCTGAATTATGCTGAACCATCCATTTGAGTTTACTAATGAAAGACCAAAAGCATCTACCAATTTTCACATGCAAAGTCAAAATTAGGAACATCAAACTTTTTGGATAGGTTCTTAAAACAAAGGAGGGAAATAGTACTGCTGGAATTGGTACTCATTTGATGAAAAATGAAACTCCTTTGGAAGCACATTGCTTCTACTGATGAGATCA